AATCTCAAAAAGAAGAACAAGTTCCTAAAGGCAACCTGGGAGGACTTAAATGAGGAAGAGTCTGAAGAACCTTCATGTAGCGCCCCATTAATTTTTAAAGGAAAAATCTCAATTTTACCAAAAATCATAATAAATTTTTCATAAATCATATCTCGACTTAAAACAATTTAACTGGCGCTACTTAATCATTCAATCTTATAACTCAGTTAGCATCATCATAAGCCGTTTGGAACTCATTGCCCAATTTTCAACATAAGTCATCATACGACATAATATTCAAACAAACATAATAATCTCGTAATAGAATCCACAAGTTCAATGTTTCCATAAATAATCGGTCACACATAAAGTTTCGAAAATAAACAAGCGGAAGCAATTTCAATAGATTCTAAACAAGTAAATGACCACACTCGCCCGTCCTTAGCTACGACCACCAGCTCAACCTGAAAAAGATAATAATAACAATAATGGGAGTGAACAAACCACTAGCTCACCGTGGAAATTACTATGAAATATATTCGATATAATGACTGAAAACATAATCGCAATATGAACATAAGTCATCTAGTCTACCTCCTATACTATCCTACGCTCATTTGTACACACCTTACCGTCGGCATAACTATCAACGGGAGCTAAACCATCGGCATCATCATCAATGGGAGAACCCTCTCATTTAGGATAAAATAGAAAAAACTGTGGGCATCATCATCAACGGGAGAACATTCTCATAGACTAATAATTCACACACATACATTGATTACAAATTCAAGCAATTATTGGGAATAAAAACATAGTAAAGTTTATCAACACCCACCTGCTCGAGAAATGACAGAAATGCAACGGCAGATCGGTAGGTTGAGGCTCGACTCCCCAAACACCTACATTTAATCAAGATAATTTTCATAAATAAATTATCTCCATAACTTAGGAATTTACGACAATTCTCACTTAATAAAAAATTATTGATTAAGGAGTTTGCGAAATTTGTGGAATTTGGAACTCTCGGATTTAAGGGAAAAACTTGAAAAAATATTTAATAAGGCTAAAAATAAGTTTGACATGAAAAATGAGGTCAACGACTCGAAAAACAGTCAAATTTCTAGGGAAAAGGGTTTCGGGTTTGGTCGGACTGGCGCCAGCACGGCCAGACCCCGCTGGCACGAGTCACGGCCCATACAAGCGCTGGCGGCTGCAACTGGGGTGCTACTAGGCTCGTCTGGGCACTGTCGGGCGTACTGAGCACGTCTGGGTAAATCTAGTCTTATCTAAAGCGACTACTGAGCGTTAGGGCGCGAAACTCGGTCGGCAGGGTATGCGGGTGACAAGGTTGGGCTGCTGCTGCACGTGGGCGGTCATTTGGGAGCGTCTGGGGCTGCGGGCACCTCGGCAAGACTGCGGGCGAACACTGTGGGCAACGGCTGCAGCAGGTCTCAGTGCGTCACTGCGGGCCTTCGCAACGCGCACGCCACAGTTGAGTGGCGTATGCGGCATCCTCGGCCCGCGTGTTGGTGTGCCCGCCAGTAGTTCTGGCTGCAACCTTTCGCACTCGTGCCTCATTTTCTCAACCGAGGAATCCAAGGTTCGGCTCAGGCGTTTATAACGAAATATTACCAGAATCAAACACACACAACAAGGGTCCAGTATACCAAGTTTGAGGCTCAGATCGCTACTCAAACATTTTATAAAATTTTTCATAGATTCAGCAAAAGGATACCAAGTGGTCCTAAAATTTCACATAATTCACCAAAGTTCTACAAAAATTAAGGTCTTCAATAAAAATCAAAAGATGTTAACTTTTGACAATTAGATCTAACACCAAAAATATAGATCTAAACAAAATTCACCAAGAACAACCAAAACACAAGGAATCAAACTAGAATGTTCGGCTTCTAGAATCTACAATTCAAAGGAGGGCCTGATCGAAAGAAAGGGGCACGACCATGGTCCTCGGGCAGCGTTGCTCGGCCTCGGTGTTGGACGTGCGTGGTCAGGGGCTCGCGTGGATCGACATCTTGCTCGTGGTTGTGCATGAACACCAGCCTCAGTTTGCCGGCTTGGTCTGCTCGAGCGGATGTGGTCGGCGATTGCGAGATAACACGTGCTGTAGCTGGGATGTCGCGTGGTCTGCGATTGGGATTGCGCTGGGCACTGGGCGATGGCTGCCGAGTGAAAAGAAGGACGAGAGAGGTTTTTTAGATAGATGAGTGGCGATTTCTTCGGATTTTTCGTGAGAGAGAATTTCTATATTTGAGTTTTCAGTTTGTGAATTGGTTATAGGTGAAGAATGTGGGGGTTCAGAATGATTTGGAGAAGGAACATAGGTAGTAACTAGAATTTGACTCAAGGGTGGATCTGCATTCAAGGTTGGAGTAGTTGGATCTGTATAAGTAAAGTTGGAGCAGGTGGGAAGAGATTATCTGTGTGTGAGTTGTGCATTGAAAAGGAAACACACTTTCATAAAAATGTACATTTCTTGATATAAATGATTTATTGGTATCTAGGTTGCAGAGTTTATATCCCTTATAACCCATTGGATACCCAAGAAGAATGCACTTTGAAGCTCTTGAATCAAATTTAGATATGTTGGTAAGTAAAGTTGATGCATATGCAAGGCAGCCAATGACCCTTAAGTGATCAAGAGAAGAGGTTTTGTTGTGCAAAACTTCAAAAGAAGATTTGTTTTGTAAAATAGGAGTTTATAAAGGGAAATGTGCATGAAAATAATGGCTCTAGCATTTTGTTGAGGTGCTTCACCACGAGTATAAAAATCATGAAGAATGAACTCAGCGCCACTGTCAGATCTAAACCTTGATATTTTTATTTAATTGAGTAAGGATTATGCTGTAGAAATGAGTAAGACTATGTTTTGTGTCAGATTTAACAGAAAGAGTATATATCCATGTCACTCTAGTGTTGTCATCAACAATTGTGAGAAAATATTTATACCCTTCATGTGAAATGACATAAAAAGGTCCCCATAAATCACAATGGATCAAGTTAAAAGGTGCAGATGCAGTTGATGTACTAATAGGAAAATATAACTTTTTATGTCTAGAGAATTGACAGATATCACTAAGTACAAGAGACATGCCTTTACATGTAGAGGAAATAATATGAAATTGTTGAAGCTTGGAGTAAGAAAGATGTCCAAATCTGTGATGCCAAGTTTGATTGGTTACAATAGCAGAAGAATTAGTTTGATTGATTACTGGTAAATGAGATGTTACATTGAAATAAGAAACATAATTATTTTAATTTGAGAAATGATATAGCCCATCATTCAGGTCAGCAGAACCAATCATTTTCTGAGTGGTTGTATCCTGTAAAAAGCATTTGGAAGAAAGAAATTGAACCAAGATATTTGTTGAAGAGACTAACTTAGAAACAGAGATAAGATTGAAATTGAAGCTCGGAACATATAAGGCATCATGCAATGTGGTATAGTCATTTAATTGAACAGTGCCTCTAAAACATGCTTCTGTATGATGACCATTGGTTAAGTATAAGTTAACATAAATTGGTTTTGGTGTTTGTGAGACAAAAGATAAGTCACAAACCATGTGGTCTGTTGCACCAGTATCAATAATCCAGGTGTTTTTAGACATGGATCTAGATGCTAGACACCAAAGAGTTTTAGATATACCTGCAACTTCTAGAAAGGCAATGGTCACAACAGATAATCCTGATGCATTATTCATTTCCTGTGCCTTTTTAAAACGTACAAATTCATGAAAAAGACCATCTGTAGTGTTTGTATTATGAGAAGTTGTATTTGGGGCTACAAATTCAGTTTGAGTGAAGTTAGCAAAATGAGAAGCATTAGGTCTTGGAGCCTTAGGACCAATCCAATTAGATGGATATCCAATCAATTGGAAGCATTTATCTGCATTGTGTCCATTGTAGCCACAATGTGTACAACGGACTTTCTTTTTATCTTTGTTATAGGAAGGTTTTTGAAATTTGGACTAAGTAGGAGTAGATTTGGCTATCATGACTACAGGATCAATTGGTTGAGAGTTATTGTGAAGTGTTCTTTGTGTTTCCTTTTGAAGAAGTAGATAATACACTTTGGACATAGGTGGCATAGGGTTAGATAGTAAGAAGTGACTCCTTAAGGAGGAGTAAGAGTCATTTAGGCCAACAAGAAATTTCATGACCGAGTCTTGTTGTTGAGAAACAACCAGAGATTCAAAGATATGACATGTACATGAATTGAAAGTACCACAAGTACACGGAAAAATTGGCCTATATGTCACTTACTCATCCCATAGGGCTTTGAATGCATTGTAGTATTGAATGATGGTTTGAGAACCCTGAGCAATTGTACTTAGGGATTTCTCAAGATGAAAAACCCTAAGTCCACTGTTGAGTACATATCTTGTTTTTATTTCAGTCCAAACATCTTGAGCAGTAGTAAAAAATAATAGAGATTGCCTTATGTCTTTGCAAATTGAGTTTAATAACGAAGAGAGCACAAGGTTGTTTGCATGCAGCCAAGACACATAGAGAACAGTGTTACCAGTCACCGAAGGCGCGGATAGAGAACCATTAATGAAGTTGATCTTGTTCTTGATGTTGAGTGCCATCATGACGACGTGTGACCACGAGACGTAGTTTTCTCCATTGAAAAGCTCCCCGACGAGTAGTGCTCCTGGATTGTCACTGGCATGAAGATAAAGAGGAGATGACGGATCCTCCGATGGATTCACCATGGTCGCCATCGATAAGAGAGTATATAGATTACTGAGATTGTATAGACAGATCGAAAATTGCAGATCTAAATCACAGATCNGATAGAGAGAGATGAAATGAAAAATGATATTATTATCAGAATGAAAAGTGAGTTAAAAAAAAAATGCACACTAATACATTTGTTCTCCTTTGTTTCGTTCTGTACGATTAACTGGTTGATTTAATGAAAATTATTTGTTCAAAAAAAAAAAAAAAGTGAGTTCAATAGTGGAGATAAAACACATTTATACTTGACCTAATACACACTAGAGTTGTCATTCAACAATAGCAACTTATAAGACTAAAATATAACTCTACTTGAACATGTCAAATTACAAAAATGCCCAAACAATATATGTACACTAATAGACCCCGTTCAAGATGTGAAATAATAGTAGTTGAGTTGTGTCCATGAGGCATTCCAAAAGAGTGTTATTCGATATTACCACACAAGTGATAACTTTGACAAAATAATAATCTTCAAACAACAATCAGTTCTCCTTGTTCCAAGTAAAAGATCCACAAATCCTTTGACCAAACAATATGCAAAATATAAGCAAGATCATAAAGAACAAGAAGACCAAGTTTATCTGCATCCCAAATTAGTTCTCCCTGCATCATTTATAGTCTTATTTACACACAGCTTCTGCAAATCGATGTAACCAATAATGGTGTCCTCAAAATCTGCATCCCCAAGTTGAGCCTCGTCAAAAGTTGAACCTGATAGAACTGTGTTCTTAAACACCGCTCCTTCCAGATTGGCTTTCCCAAAATTTACACGGTCCAAAACCGCATTTGAAAAGTTTGTGCCTGAGACAGAAAAAATACAAAAAAAAAAAAAGGAAGAAAATCGGGAGTGGCTTTAAATGGTAACATGATTTTTATGTTTGCACTGTAAGGATAGGCCTAATGCTTTCCAACATCATAAAATATGTTGAAATTTCCAGAAGGAGCTAATGTTAATTATACCAATTGGAGATTTTCAAGTAAACAGATACTGGAAATGTTGTGGCTAATGGAACTTCACCCTCAAAAGTTCCTATTGTTTCGTGTGTGTGCGTGTGCATTTTACCGATTGAACTTTGACAATGTGCATTTTGCTTTGAAAATCATTCTTTGTAATTTACCTGGCCAGCCAAATGTTGGTATGCCTGAGCTAAGGATGTGTCCTAGACCACACAACCCAAGATATTTACCAAAGTTCAGCACACAAAATGCAAATCTCACCATAGTTTGGCTGGAAGAATGCAATTACCCAAAACAGTTGTGACAGTCGGTCAATAGAAACTTACTAAAAATAAACTGTCAATAACAAAAAAGAAAAAAGAAACTGTCAGCATCTAGAAACACTAAAGACCATGATAAGTTTTCCCAGCAACAAATTGGAATCACTTTCTTAAAACATCTGTAAATACTCCGTGTTTATATAAAGCTTCGGTTAATTTCTCCAAAGCAAGGTGTCAAGAACTGAACAGAATGCAGCCAAGCCTAAGAAAGTACCGACACCGTAGAATGTCTCGTCCTTTACCAAAATATCTAGTTCAAACTTTCAAAACNAGAAAAAAAAAAAAAACAAAAATCAAGAAGTTCCTTACATAAACTAAACTTACCAAAAAACTAATGATAATGTAACTATGTAAGTGAAGGTTTTTAAAACTAAAAGAATAAAATGTTACCCTTAAAACTTGCTCCAACTGCATAAGCCTTTGACATAATAACCTCTGTCATGTCAGCCCCATCAAACTTGGCATCAGACATGAGAGCCGCAGCCAGAGACTTTCCCTTGAGGTTTGACTTATCATTTGTGTAGTCACAAAATCGGAGGTCGAGTGGTTTATCGTAAACTCCATTGGCTTGCCCAATTGTGTTTCCCACGAAAGCACGCTCGCATCTATTTGGTTCTGTTGACAGAGGCGGAAGCCTCTAGAGTATATATATTCATGCCCAAGATAAGGTTAAGTAATAATTAGTTAAATAACGAACTTACATTTTGGCTATACAGTCATCAAACATTGTAATTAAGTCCTGCAGTTCTTCCAAATATATAAAAGAAGGCTCACTACAAAAATAAATGTCACATCTGATCAGGTTTAATCAACAACTTTCTTTTATTATTATTCTAAGAATTTCAAGATCAAGTAAATCAATTGCCACGGTGAATGGCATTTGCGGAACTCATGTTACCAAACCATGTATGAAATATGATATAACAAATTGTACCAACAAGGGCAAAAAATAATAAAAGATGGCTAGGGAATAGGGATAAAAGAGTTTCTTGATATTTGACCTGATTTGCAGCAATGACAGGTGAAAGAGAGGTCACAGCCCAAACAGCAAGAACCCCACAAGCCACATTCCTAAGTTCCTTAAATTGGCATGTAATATCTGCAGATTTATTGGGACAATCCCTTGTAGCTGCATAAAAATCTATTGCGATTAAATACATACTTTTTCTCGAATTAAGAGAAAAAAGAAAAAATTATACTTACATGAACATCTTACTTGGGCTGGCAAGTGCAGATCTTGGACGGCATTTTTATGTTTGGTTGAGTTTGTGCCGAAAGAGAAAGTTCTCTGTTGGATAGGAAGGTAGAGAGTTGCCATTCTTCAGTTGTCTGTGTGTTGGTTGTCTTAGGCTACTTATCCATCATACTGGTGATGATATTTCTCGAGAGAATATAATATGAATTTTTCATTTCTTTTATATATTTAACATGATAGTATGCTACCTTGTTCGGTTTTCTTGTTATAAATATTGGGTAGTACTATTCACCTGCCCCTATTACTATTTAGGGAAATTTTCAGCTATGTTATCCGTTTATGAAATAATTGCTGTTTTACCACTCAAGCTAATTTAATTTAATTATGTATACGACTAAAATATAAAATATAATTATAAACCTACCTAAATAACTGTTACACGAGATGAACCATCTTTCCTTGTTTGTAGGGCATAATTTTAGGTATCAAGATGGAATAATATCACATTTGAATTTGAATTGAGATACGGACGGTACAAAAAGAAAGAGAACACGCCGGCGAGCAGAAATTTTCCGGAAACACTCGACCGACGGTCTTCATCCTTTGGAAAAAAAATAAAAAAGCTTGCGTTTTATCATTATTTGTCTCCGGCCAAAGATATGCATTAAGAGGTTAAAAAAAAGAGTGGTGTCGATCAAATCCTGCGGCGAGCACTCAACAACCGAACAACTATCAAGAACAAATACATACAGGCCAAAAGATAGGGAGGTATATTTTGGTTTTCTTTTTTTGTGTTATAAACCTGTGCCGAGCAAAATTCAACCTGGCGTTTTTTGATCATTTTGCTACTGATTTCGTTCTATGTTTTTTTTTTTCTTTTTTTTCTCCAGATGGATCCGAATATGATGATTTTCATACACCATGGGGGTGAATGGGTGATGAATGACTACGTGAATTACCAACTATCTGGTGTTTTGGTTCGGAAAGAAGGCAGCTTCAACGAATTATGCGGTATATTATGCGAGGAGCTCGGGTTGATACGTGAATCATCTGTGCTTGATCTAAAATATAAGCTGAAAGAAAGTAGTCCACTAATTTCGATAAACAGCGATAGGAGCCTTAGCTTCTATGTATATTTGGTGTCCAAAGAAGATGACTATGCAAAATATCCGGTGTGCGTTGTGGTGAAATCTCGGAGTACTGTTGAAAATTCGTTTGATGAAGAAGTGAATATAGGTTGTGTGAATGGCGAATCAAATATTGCTCCATTGTGTTTTCCGGAGCTTGATAGGCAACATGATAGATCAGATCGCATGATAAATTTCATGTCGTTCGCGAGGAACGTGGCTGCAGAGATGGTAGAAGTGGCAGCATCTACCGAAAATATACTTGACATATACCCAGGTTCTGAAATGCGGTTGACTGCTGAGGAAAATTTTGACTCTGGTATTGTTGTTGGTCTCTTACTAAAGGACAAGGAAACGTTACAAACAATGTTGACCATGCATGCACTAAAGCATCATTATCAATTCAAGGTTGACAAGTCATGCTCAAAACAATATTATGTCAGGTGTGTATCGAATGATTATTATCCTAGTATATTTAAATTATATTATGTAATATTTGACTTATATTTTGATATATTTAACACTTTCAATATTTTGGCAGGTGTGTCTCGAGCGAGTGTACATGGTTTGTTAAAGCTTCCCGTATGGGTCGGTCAAACACTTTTAAGATAAGAGACGTGGGGACTGAACATATATGTGGTTTGGATGCCCGTACTAGTAATCAGAGACAGGCGACATCAACACTAGTTAGTAGTTTCATCAAGACAAAATTCACAAACAATAAAACTGCATATAATCCGGGCGATATCATTGACGACATGCAAAATCGGTTTGGGATAAACTTGACATATCACAAAGCATGGAGGTCGAAACGGAAAGCTGTTGATGAAGTTCGTGGCAAGGTTGATGAGTCATACAATTATGCTCATCAATATCTTAGTAAGGTACGTGCATCAAACCCGGGAAGCAATGTGATGATGCGCACCACATGGGATAAGATTTTCATGTATGTTTTCATGTCACTCGGTGCATCTGTCAAAGGGTGGGTACATTGTCGGCCAATTGTTATTGTCGATGGGACATTTTTGACGTCGGTATAAGGAATTTTATTGACAGCCTCTTGTCAAGATGCAAATTCTCATATATTACCGCTTGCATTTAGTGTTGTTGACTCCGAAAATAACAAGTCATACCTCTGGTTTTTCTCAAAATTGCATGAAGTAGTTGGTGATAGGGAAGGTCTTTGCATTGTTTCGGATGGTCACGAAAGCATACGGCACGCAGTAGAAAAGGTACTATTATATTTCTAGTAACAATTTAGTATTTATTCTGCGGAATATACTTTATTCTCCAATTGATTCTTTTTTTCTTGAAATATAAAATGTTCCCAGCGTTTAGTATATTTTTGGTAACAATCGGGCATTATTTTCCACGATTTATAATATATTCGCAATGCACAGTTAAGTATTATATTTTTTTAGAAACAGTTATATTTCTATTAAAAATTAAGTATTGAAAGGGTATATTTCTAGTAACAGTTATATAATATATACACGTTTAGAATAGGTAGTATTATATTTCTAGTAACAATTAAGTAGTTATTCTGCAAAAATAACTGTTACTTCTCCAGTTTTATTTATTTATTTTTTGAAATATAAAATGTTCCCAGCTATTATTATATTTTTGGTAACTGTTTGGCATTATTTTTCATGATATATAATATTTCAGTAATTTGCTTGGTTATATCTAATTTATTTAGGTATTCCCTAATGCGGCGCATTGTCTGTGCACCTATCGCATCTCAAACAAATTGAAGATGCGTTATAAGACGGAATCTCAGGCAGTAAAGGAGGAGTTTTATGCAGCAGCAAGGGCCTATACGAAAGAGGAATTCAATAAGCATATTGCACAGATAAATAAGCTGAATCCAAATGTGGTACCATATCTAGAAGAAATTGGATTTCACAAGTGGGCAAGAGTTCATTGTCCAAATAATAGATATTTTACCATGACATCTAACGCTGCTGAGTCAGTAAATGCTGCCATACGAGCCGTCCGTGATCTACCGATAACTCCACTACTGGAGGCGCTTAGAGATATGCAACAACGGTGGAATGTGGCAAACAAAGATGAGGCAAAGGCCACTTTTACTCCTCTTGCAAAGAAGCCACATAGGTGGTTGGAAATGAATTACCAAATGGCAGCAAGATACTCAGTGAGTGTTATTATTTATATTTTTTAATTTTATTCCTATTATACACTATATAGCTACTAGTAAATAATTATAATATACCTAAAAAATACTGTAATATACTGTATATATACTAAATTGTTTAACAGGTACAGAAAGCCAGTGACAAAGTGTATAAAGTGATGGCTGATGGTCAGGCATTTATAGTAGACATTGAAGATAAGACTTGCACATGCCACCACTTTCAAGTTGATGAGCTGCCATGCCCGCACACTATACGTGTGATCAAGTCACTCCACCTGGATCCGGTCCCATTCTGTTCTGAGTATTACTTAAACTCCTCTATGTTGGCAACTTATGAAGATGCTGTGATACCAATAGAAGGTAATCAAGCCTTCATATTTAATGCACCGTCTGCCGAAAGATTGGTNTTAATGCACCGTCTGTCGAAAGATTGGTGAATCCTCCAGATGCAAGAGTGAGGCCAGGTAGACCACGCAAACAACGATTCAAGTCGGGTTGGGAGCATAGATCAAAGAATAGATGCAGCAAATGTCACGAGAAAGGGCACAATGTGAAAACTTGTCGTAATCCAATACGATGAAAATCATTACCATTGACGTGTACAGTAATTGATGCTTTTTGAGTTGTTTGTTGCTTACTACCATAACTTCTTATTTTTTCTTGTTTTTATTTCATGTTTCTGAAAGCAGCATGCACATTGGTTATACGATGCACATTAATAACATATACGAATTATAAAATGTATCGCGAAAATATACAACTAATATACCAATGTGCATAGTATATATCAAACATACAACGTGCATATACCAGAATATAACATGGATATAACTGAATATAACATTTATATAACATGGATATACCTGACTATAACATTGATATATTCAGGTTTTGCATAACAGAATATAACATGGATATACAAGAATATAACAGGGATATAACATGGATATGCAACTAATATTCAACTAACATACCATAGTATATATCAAACTTACATCGTGGATATATCAGAATATAACATGGATATACCTGAATGTAATTTCATGTGATGTATGTTCATAACAAAGTTCATAAAAACATCGTTCAATGTGGACAGGGGGAAAAAACAAAACATAAAAGTTCAAAATAATATACCGGAATTATAACAAAATATAATTTAGGATCACCAGAATATAAGTTCAATGTTTTCCCGATAAATATAATTTGTCCATAAAAAATATACCAGAACATACCGGAATTAAAAATAGAATATAAGTTAGATACACGGGAATATAAGTTCATTGTTTTCCCCACATTCGAGCACAACCATCAGAAAAATCAATCCTAAAAAATACTTTATAAAATTATCTACGATGTTTTTCCCACATTCAAAAGACCAAACCGAACTCCATCGGGGGCACTACCAGGGGATTCGTCGTCACTGTCGCATCGATTAGTTTGCTTCATTCGGCCATGAGTGTAGAGCAAATATGCGTATCTCTCTCTAGAAGAGGTGACATCAAACTTGTCGTTGTCGATGTCGTGACCCGCAATGAAATGTTCGGCGTACGATGCAACAAATACCCCACAATCACTGACGATAATATAAAAAGTATAACACAGGTATAAGTGATTAACAAAGAATAACAATAATAATAATTAAATTAATGATAATTATAATAAATAAGTAAAACAGCCAGAAAAAATAATTGCAATTTCAACTATCAAATTCATATATGTGGTCCGTGAACATTACTTTACCAGAATATATTCTATATATAAATGATTATACCATTTACCTGTACATCAGAAAATATGGGGGAAAAAAATAACGTATATATAACAGAATATAATGTACCTGTTGAGCTGCTGGGGGAGATCGTCAACCATAACCACCTCGATGCGGCCATTGCAGGCCACTCCTTTCCTCGAGAACTTCACCAAAGCAAGGA